CAGATACTGAATTTTCAACAATTAAAGGGAAGTTAGTCCAACTAGAATAATAAAGTCATATTTAATAGACAAATATTTAATGTTGCTTTAGTTTTCAACTTTAAACGAACTGAAATTAAAATTATAATTCAGTTCTTCAGAATTAGCCATATTTCAAGAGCTCAGTAGACCATCCCCTGTGGATAGTGACTGCTGTATTGGATAGTGCAGGCCCAAGCCATGGCTCATTCTCCACACATGGACACAAGTATAAACTTGTAACTTGTTCACCCATTCATTGAATCACAGTCATATATCTACTCTGCATCTCTATTAGGAATTGGAGAAATAAAAATGGTTACATGGTGGTCTTTGGCCTCAAGGAGATCAAGAGAATCAGAGAAAAGAGGGCAAAGGCTCACAAATAAAGAACCACAATATCAGATGCTAAGTACTACAGTCAAGGTATATACAGAGTATGTGGAAGCACAGATAATATTCACCTGCGGGTTGTTATTACTTCCACATTGACACTATAACAGCCAATATACAGCTATTATTGACAAAGCATCTGAGGCTGGCGTTGGGGCTCAGTGGTAGAGTCCATGCCTAGCACATGTGAGGCACTGGGTTCAATCCTCAGCACCACATAAAAATAAATAAAGGCATTGCATCCATCTACAACAACAACAAAAAGCATCTACCATGACCCAAGCATGCTTCATGCTTTATATCCATATCTCTGTGTAATTCTCAACACTCTGCCAGGTATGTGTTTAGTGATTTAATTATTTGCAGTGTTGAGGACCAAATGTAGGACTTTAGATTGGGCATAAGTTCTACCACTGACCTACATCCCCAGCGATGCCAGCTATGAATTACTAAGACCTAACAAATGAGCCGGGTGTGGAGGCACATGCCTATAATTCCAGCTACTTGGGAGGTTGAGACAGGAGGATTGCAAGTTCAAGGTCAGCCTCACTAACTTAGTGAGACACCCACCCCACCCCCCAAAAAACAAAAACAAAAAAACAACAAAAAAAGCTGGGGATGCTCAGTGGCAGAGCACCCCTGGGTTCAATTCCCAGTACAGCCAACAACAACAAAACCCCTACAGTTTACCAAGGAAAAGTAGCAGATAGTAAGAATTTTATGCACATTAAAATATATTTGTATTAATATAATAGGAGGAGCTGGGGTTGTGGCTCAGTGGTAGAGAGCTTGCCTAGTATGTGCAAGGCCCTGGGTTCGATCCTCAGCACCACATAAAAATAAATAAATAAAATAAAGGCAATGTATCCAGCTACAACTAAAAAATAAATTAAAAAAATACAACAGGATTTAGCTAAGCCTAGATATTATGCTATTTTTATGATTATTTCAGCTCTAAGAAATATGTATTTTTGCACAACTGTGCCTCACTCACATCATTGGAATAAAAGAGTCCACTTGGTTAAACACTGGTAAGTCTGCTAAATTTGCACCTCTTGTGGCTTGTGATCACTTGGCACAGTCCCTAACACCTCCCTAAGTGAAATCTATTTATCAGAGAACAGATGACTCTCTCCCGAAGTGACTGAGTGTAGCCCCATTTATCCAGCAGCCGCTAGTGGGTGACTGTCCTGTTCCAGCACACCCTTCCTCCCACTTCCTCTCACATGCTCTCCCTGTGCCCGGAGAATCAATTCCCTGCTCCAATCCCTTTCTTTACTCACTTGAGTGGGTACATTCGCAGGGCCACGTCCATGCCTGGAGTGTAGGACAGAAAAGCCGCCAGGAGTGTCTCCTCCAGGATCCCGAATATTAGAACCTTGTTTCTGGGAAGAAACATTTATGACTGATCTGGAGACAAGGAGGAAAAGGCAGGGGAAATGGCCGGTCTCTGTGTGAGTTTGGGGTTGTTGGGGCATTTGGTGGATGCTCACTTCGTGCCCTGCTGGAAGACGGAGTTGCGGCGGGTCTTGCAGATGATGAGGTCAGCCCACTGCACAATCACGATGCTGACGAAGAAGGCCGTCTGGCAAGTGAACTCCACCACCTTGCGCTGCTCGTAGGTCTGGGGGAGGGCAGCAGAGTGACACCTCAGTGTCAGAGGTGCTTAGGTAACCCAAGACTCCTTTTCTCTCCTGCTTTCAGGACCCATAGGCTGAATTACTTTCTTTCTCTATAAACACCACTTTTCTCTGCCTTAGCACCTTTATATTGTCCTGTGATTTGTTAATGTGCTTTCTTACTTGACTGAGAGCCTCTCAAAAACAAGGACCTGGGAGCTGGGGACTTGGCTTATGATACAGCACTTGCAGCATGCACAAGGCCCTGGGTTCAAGCCCCAGCGTCAATGGGGGAAAAAAAGAAAGACCTGGTCTTATTTGTCTTTTCCCTCCCCATGTACAGTTCATGGCTCGATAAATATTTATTAAATTATTAAGAGACTGGGGTTTTGGCTCAGTGATAGAGTGCTTGCCTAGCATGCATGAGGCACTGGGTTCGATCCTCAGCACCACATAAATGTAAAATAAAGATATTGTGTCCACCTAAAACGTAAGAATAAATATTTAAAAACAATTATTAGAAGTATCTTGTAGGGCTGGGGATGTGGCTCAAATGGTAGTGCGCTCGCCTGGCATGCGTGGGGCGCTGGGTCGATCCTCAGCGCCACATAAAAATAAAAAAATAAAGATGTTGTGTCCACCGAAAACTAAAAAAAAATAAAATTAAAGAAATTCTCTCTCTTAAAAAAAAAAGAAGAAGAAGTATCTTGTAGAGGAAGAGGAACTTAGGACAGCAGAGCCAGAAAGGAAGGTAGGGCCAGAAAAGCAATATGAATGCAGAGAGGAAAGGAATGCCCCAAATAGTGGTGGATAAGAGATATTCACTTATTCATTCCACGAATTTTATATACACAAATAACTTAGAGACTCTGGGTGCAGGGGCACATGCCTACAATTCCAGAGACTTGGGAGGCTGAGGCAGGAGGATTCCAAGTTAAAAGCCAGCCTCAAAAACTTAGAGAGATCCTATCTCAAAAAAACAAAACAAGGGGACTGGGGATATGGCTCAAGCGGTAGCGTGCTCGCCTGGCATGCGTGAGGCCCGGGGTTCGATCCTCAGCACCGCATACAAACAAAGATGTTGTGTCCGCCAAAAACTAAAAAATAAATATTAAAATTCTCTCTCTCCCCTCCCCACCCCCACTCTCTCTAACAAAAAGAAAGAAAACAAAACAAAACAAAAATGGGCTAGGGACCTAGCTCAGAGGTAGAAACTTCCTGGGTTCAATTCCCAATACTGTAAAGAACTTAGAGACTAGTGGGAGACATTAAGTATGCTAATGATGCCAGTACTATAATAGAGCATAAAAGAGAAAGCACACAGGGCTGCAGAAACCCAGAAGAAGTACATCTAAATTAGACTCAAGGAGAAAAGAAGAGTATAATTAAAAAAACAGCATGTTTATAAATAACTCATATATCAAATAAGAAATTTGAGAATATATAAGACCACACAAGAATGAGATACTACATATCAAACCACATGAGATATGGTTGAACTTGTGCTTGGAGAAAAATATAAAACTTTAAATGGTTGAAAATGAAGGCTGAAAGCTGATGATCCATGCATAGAACTTAGATAAGATCAGTGGGCATGTTCACGTGCACCGGATGACACACAGCTATCCTTCAGGGTAGTCATCTTTCTCACCTATATAATTCCCCATCCTTTCTTGTTTTGTTTTTTCAGTGCATGTTAGACAAGCCTCAGCCTCCCAAGTTGCTGGGAGTAGAGGTGTGCACCACCACATCCAGCCACAGTTAAACTCTTAGAAGCCAAGGTGTATGAAGGGCATCTTTCCAACAACTCAGATTTGAGCAGACTTTTGAGAAACCTTCAGTTAGCTTAACTGAGGTGTCATGGTGAAGTGGGAAAGTGGAGGACAGGCATCAACAGTTCAGATGTCTAGTCCCGCTCTTGTAGGGCTTCTCTGTAGGACACCGAGTAAGTCATTACACTCCCTAGATTCAGTTTCCTCACTTATAGACCAAATCATAGACTAAATATGCCTTGAGATGCTGTAATTCTTGTGCTTATTGGTGTCACATGTCTTATGGTCTTAGGAGTTGGAATGGGAGTGTCCACAGTTGCAAAAAAAATAAAAAAGCAATAACCAGAGTCTATTGTTACATTGTGGGCAGGTATGAATATGTAACAACAGAGCCCACCATTGTATATAATTACAATGCACCAATTTTTTTTTAAAAGAGAGAGTGAGAGAGGAGAGAGAGAGATAATTTTTAATATTTTATTGTTTAGTTCTCGGCGGACACAACATCTTTGTTGGTATGTGGTGCTGAGGATCGAACCCGGGCTGCACGCATGCCAGGCGAGCGTGCTACTGCTTGAGCCACATCCCCAGCCCACAATGCACCAATTTAAAAAAATCAGCATGTTTCATAAAATTCTTGAACGGGGATAAGGCTTCAGTTTGAGCCTCATTCATCTTGGATATAAGGGGAAATTACTACAAAGCTATCCTCTAGATTTAAAAAGTTTGGAAAGATTATGTGCATATATGAACATAAAATCTCACTTTTATGCACAATTATACTGTATTAATAAAAAAGAAGAAAGAAGTTTAGAATGATGAGGAATGAGTATACAAAGAATATAGGTTTTCAGATTTCAAGTCATATTATTTGAACTCTTATGGTGGGAGGGATTGAAACAGGAGAGGACCCAGTATTTAAAATTCTGGTTAAAACCTGGAAATACAGAAATTGGCCCAGAAAAAAGTTGATATGACAAAGAAGATCTCCAGCTCCAAAGGAGCCCAAAAGACTAGGAAGGTAAGGATACACAACAGATAGCAGGAACCAACAGAAATTGTAGCATTATAGGACTGGGGCTCAGTGGAAGCGCACTTGCCTAGAATGTGTGAGGCACTGGGTTCGATTCTCAGCACCACATAAAAAAGTTAACAAATAAAATAAAGACATGCTGTCCACACACAAAACTCCAAAAAAAGAAAAAGAAAAAAAAAGAAAGAAAGAAAGAAAGAAAAAGAAAAGAGAGAAAGAAAGAAAATAAAAATAACTTTAAAAAAATTAGGGCATTATAAACAAAGAGAAGACGTTTGCTGTTGTGATTGGAAATATGGTCAAACAGATCACTAAGTCAGGACTGGAGATGAGGTATCAACTCTGTTTGGTGTCTCCCCTTCTCTCACCCTTCAAAGATGCTCTTCCAGTTGGGTGCAGTGGCTCATCCCTATAATCCCTGGGACTTGGGAGGCTGAGGCAGGAGGATCATAAGTTCAAAGCCAGCCTCAGCAATTTAGTGAAGCCCTAAGGAACTCAGTGAGACTCTTGTCTTTAAATAAAACAAAAAAAGTGCTGGGGATGTGGATCAATGGTTAAGTGCCCCTGGATTCAATTCCTGGTACCAAAAAAAAGAAAAAAAGAAAAAAAAGCTCTTCCCTGTCCCTTCCTCATTCTTGGTCACTGTCTACCACCCCACCTTGTCTACTCACCCACTGCTGTCCATAGCTGTCCTCCAGGTCATTTACGGAGCGATCATCCCATTTCAGGCGGATACCCAGCAGATCGAAAGGTTTAAAGCCATTTTCGGCCAAGATCACGAAGTAGGTGAAGAATCCTGCTAGAGCCTGGATCATCCCTGTGTATGAAAGAGTCACAGGACTGGGGAACCTGGTTCAGAGGACCCCCAAAGGCAGACCACAGAAGGGGCAGGGGCAGAGGTTGACTTCCAGCTGGGTTGATAAGTGTCTATGCAGTAATGAAGATTCTTGCCACCAACCATCTGATCCTATCATCCCTGTGTGGCTTGTTGCCAAACCCTGACATTCGTTTTTAACAGATTCATTTTTTTAAAAATATTTTTTAGTTGTAGGTGGACATTATGCTTTTACTTTATTTATTTTTTATGTGGTGCTGAGGATCAAACCCAGTGCATCAAACATGCTAGGAAACACACTGAGCTACAACCCCAGCTCCAGAGTCATTTTTGAATCATATAATCTTAAGACTAATAAGGACTATTTGGTGATGGCTGGACTCCTCCTTGATCATTTCTCTTGCACATTTGGACACTTCCCAAGTTTTATTCTCTTCTCACATCTCTGCCATCCGCCCTTTGCCTGTCCCTTCGTCAAAACTTCTGTCCTCCATGCCTGGACCACAGTGATAGCTAACATTGATGTTTACCTCCTAACAACACGGCTGTGCACTTCCTATGCACCTTATGGATACAGATCCTCACACCAATTTTGAACTATTGTCTATAATTCATAAGTGGGAAACTGAAACACAGAAGATTGTCATTGTCTAGAGTTCATTCAGGTAGTAAGTGGTGGAACTGGGATTCAAACCTACGTCTGATTGCTAAGTCTATGCTTTTTCTCCATCTCTCCTCCCCTAGGTATTGGGATGATCTCTCTCATCCCCAATCTCTTCCCTGTTCATCCCTCACACTACCACCTGAAACTCTCGACTATGGCAACTCAAGAACAAAGACGTCCCATGCACTCAAATGTCTTTCAAGGTTTGTCGCAATATAATGCTTCCTATGTTTGCAGCCTTATTCTCTATGAAGACTAAGAGTGCCAGCAAACTGGTTTAATTCACTCTTCTCTAACCATACCACGTGAACTTCCTATCTCTGCTGGTCCCCCGCACCTGACCACGTGCACATGAGTCTAAGGGCTGGACTCCAATGCCAAGTTAAGTTCTATTTCCTCCATAAGACTTCTATCTCATAGTCAGTCGCTGAGTTTGCTCGCTCGTGTTTGTTCCTGTAGCCTGGTAGGGCTGCGCTGTCCTGGTTACTCAGCCCATGGAAAGGTGCTATCATCTTATGTAGATTTGCTCCTTTTGTACTAGGCTCTAAGTCAAGGGCGGATCAGCACATGAGCCATCCACAGTTCTTGGTGTCCCCAGGGCCTTCTAGAGAACACATCTCCCAGACTGGCTCAAATGGCGAGGCAGAGGCAATGGCTCCCTCTCCCTTCACCCCTCACTCCTTGGGCTCACCAATCTGTCCATAAGCCATGCCAATGAGACGGTGGTTCACCAGATTATCAGTCTTCGAGTTCCGTGGGTGCCTCTTCATGATGTCACTTTCCGCTGTCTCATAAGCCAAGGAGATAGCTGGGACCTGGAGGAAGGGAATGACAGGGCCCCCAAGTTCAAAAGGAGACTCAAGTAACTCCATCTCCACCCTCCTCACTTGACATGGGTTTTTCCTACTCCTGATCCGTCTCACAAGAGTCCCAAGAGCTGCGTCCCAGCTGGTCCTCACCATATCAGTGCCCAGGTCAATGCATAGGATGGTGATTGTCCCTAGTGGCAGCGGAATACTGAGGATGATGAACAGCAGGAAGGGGGTGATCTCAGGGATGTTGCTGGTCAGGGTGTACGCAATGGATTTCTTCAGGTTGTCAAAGATGAGGCGGCCTGGGGGGGGGGGGACAGTGAACTCTCTGTGAGAAGCACAGAGAAAGGACAGACCTCCCCGTAACCAGATCCTAGTCAGAGAGACCATTAAAAGAAGTGCTATGGTCCCTGAAAAGATTGGGAGTTCAAAGTAGACCCTGGTGGTCCCAGTTTCCTTTCTAAATTGTGTGACGATTATTTATTTACTTATGTATTTCTGTGGGTTTCGTAGATGACTCTTCATGATGTGGTACCTGGGATTGAACTCAGGGCCACTCTACCACTGAGCTACATTCCCAGTCCTTATTTTTAAAATTTGAAACAGGGTCTTGGCTAAATTTCCCAGGCTGGTCTCCAATTTGCAATCCTCCTGCCTCAGCCTCCCAAATTGTTGGGATTACAGTTATACACCACTACACAGAGTTCTTGTGTGACTATTAATTAGAATCATGATTTATTTGCGCGCCCTTAATATGTACTCTTTGTTCTTGGATTCAAAATGGTTGATGTTATCTGATCTTTGAAAATTAAGCAGGGTTGGGCCTAGTTAATCCTGAATATCTGAGAATGCCAGTATTAAAGACTTTAAAGGTCTAAGGCGAAAGTGGAAAGAGCCCAAGTCTGGGACAGGCTTGGGTTTGGGTCTCATTTTCTGACATAACTAGCTCATGACCTTGGGTGCCCCTTATCCCTCTGAGCATGATTCCTCTTGCCTTGCAAGATTGCTGAGTCCTTCTCTGAGTTCCTGTCAAAGATTGTAATCCTTCTCTGCTGTATTTTTTTATGTTTATTTTTAGGACTGGGAACTAAACCCAGGGGTGCTTACCACTGAGATATATCCCCAGCCCTCTTTTAATTTTTTTTTTTTTTTTAAATTTGAGTCAGGGTCTCTAACTTGTGATCCTTCTGCCTTAGCTTCCCGAGGAGCTGGGATTACAGACGTGTCATTGCACCCAGAAGATAATCACTATGATTCTGTGGATCATCATGTTTTAGTAAGAGAGCTTCAGGCAGAGAGCACAGAGGCTGGGGTTCAGCATTCCGGGGTTCTCTACTTCACCGATGGGCATTCTTTTTAGATTTCTCTGGGAAAGGGGGAGCTTAATTAGGTTCATGAAGTCCGTTCATAGGTAGTCTCTAACCTCTTGATGTGTCATCATCACTCAGGCAGGAAGTTCTTTCGGGGACCCTTCTGGAGATTGTAAAAAGAGTACAGCCTCATCTTGCTGCAAACACACTTGAATCCCAACAATAGGACAAAAAAAGTACTTTGCTGTACCAGAGTCCCAGTCTCCCTGGCAAATCTGGACTTTATTCCAATCTCATTTAAAAAGTGACATTCTAAGTATCAGCTGACTCTAATTTGCAAAAATATTATCATACAGTGATTTTATTTATATTTATTTATTTATTTATTTGCATGGAGAAGAGATGATGGGCAAAGGGAATGAGGTCATATACACCAACACCTATCTGAGTCTAAGGGTCAGTTCCAACCCTGGGCATCCTGCCTCCTCACCCTCCTCCACGCCTGTGACGATGGAGGCAAAGTTGTCGTCCAGCAGGATCATGTCGGCCGCCTGCTTAGAGACGTCGGAGCCAGTGATGCCCATGGCGATGCCAATGTCCGCCTTCTTCAGCGCAGGGGAGTCGTTCACCCCATCACCTGTCACCGCCACAATGGCTCCCTGGAGAGATCCAGAAAGAGGAAGTGAACTCTCTACTGTATTAGATCTAGGACGAATCCCAAAGTGCAGTTTGATGTCAGCACCTCATTTCTTCTTCTTTTTTTCCTTTTTAAATGGGGATCTTGCTATGTTGCCCAAGCAGGGCTCCGACTCACTCCTCCCACCTCAGTCTCCCAAGTAGTTGCAATTACAGACGAGAATCCCATGGCTTCTTGGACTCCTGCCTGATCTAGGCATCTCAGCTACTCTCTTTTCTGTTCCCCTGAGATATTTAAGCCCAATCCAAAGGCCACTGTGGAGGTTCAATATGGGGATTTACTTAAAGGAGTTTTTCTCTAGCCCAGCCCACAGGTTCCCCTGCTTCCCCCATGATTTCTGCAGGGTGCCCCAGGGCTCCTTACCAGCCTCTGACAACCCTCCACAATGTTGAGCTTCTGCTGAGGGGAGGTCCGAGCAAACACAATCTCCGGGTGGTTCTGGAGGATCCTGTCAAGCTCTTCTGAGCTCATGTTCTTCAGGTCTGCGCCATGGACCACTATGGCTGTGACGTTCCTGCAGGAGAGGATTTCAACAGGCTCGTTCTGGGTTGGAAATTCACCACGGGGCTGGTGCCCTCTAACCAACCCTTCCTCCAAATGCCTCGATTCTTTTGGCCCAGTCTCTTCACTGGTCGCCGGCATTCACTATCCCCCAGATGACACATTCCATCCCCTCTCCCTTTCTGGCCATTTCTCCTTTCTTCTTCTTTTTCCTTTTTCCTGATCCCTCTGAAAACTCACTGACACATTCCCTTGGTGGTTTCCTTACTATATTTTCCTTTATAAAGTGTAAACCCCACAATCCTACCAACTGAAAGTGGGAAGTGGGATCTGGGTGGGGCAAACTATGGAGGGTGGATCTGAGTTCCAAAGGGGTCTCACCTGGTATCCACCTGGCTGACAGGGATGTTAAGCCGGGCAGCAATGTCCTCTGCTGTCTCTGCACCTTCTGAGATGATGCCCACACCCTTGGCAATGGCCTTGGCTGTAATGGGATGATCTCCTGTTACCATGATCACCTGGGTCGGGGAGGGCAGGGAAGAGAAGCAGAATCATCTTTAGAGAAGCCCTGGATCCTTCTTCTGGCTCCCCCAGGAATAACCGTGTTCTACTTTCATTCAATAAGGGTTTTAGTAACTCATCCCCCAAGAACTTGTTATATAGACCAAACACCTTGCTTCTGTGACTTCAACCCTTGGGAGTGAGTCAGGGCTAGCAGACCATAAAACACAGGATGATTCAGGTTCTAGAATTCCCAGGAATAAGTCAGAGATTTGGGTGTAAACCTATATTCAGAATTTCATTTAATTTCTGCAGAAGCTACTCTGCTTCCTTAAGCACCAAGACGGGAACACCTACCCATAGAACAAGTGGTAATGGAGGAAGGTCTGGAATAACCCACCTGCCTAGCAGAGTTTCAGGTACATTCAGGTCCTCACTCCTGCCTCTCTCTGTCTCCCACTACCTCACTCTGCCACTGAGTTTCAACTCACCTTTGGCTACCTGGTACCTAGTCCTGTCCCACTGCCACCCAAAGATGACCTGCCCATGCTCTGTGGTTTGGTGGCACTCTGTTCTTTCCCACATTTCAGCACTTATCACTTTTCTAGGACATAATCACGTGTTCTCTTTCCATCACTGGACTGAGAGCTCTGCGAGGGGAAAACGCTTGTTAAGTTTTTTGCTCCGGCACAATGCACAGCACATAGTAGGCCATCAACCAATAACCCTGGACTGGGGGAATGAAGGAATGATGGGTACCTGGGGAGACCACAAGAGCCTTCCAGGCACACAAGTTTTCAAGCTCTCATGGGAGGTAAGAAGAAACCATCTGATTGACTAAATCGTCCACCGTGTTCAAGAATGGAGATCCTGCAGAGGCTAGTCTATTTGCTTTCAAAGTATGGAAATAAGACTTGCAGAAGCATTCCCCCAAGGAGGAGGGCTTTGTGAGCCCTCATCATTCCATACTGGCACCCCTGACTTCCTAGAAGAAGACAACAAAGTGCTAACGAGGCTGTGGTCGCCACACACAGTTCAATTGCACTGAGCTTTAACCCATGACCACCCATGTCAAGTATCCTGGTGGGCTGCAGGGCCCCTGGATCCTCACAGGCTTGGCCTGTGGGAGTGCCTGATAGCAGGTGAGACCTGGGACAAAGGTCGGTCCTTGGGGGCTGGGGATATACCTCAGTTGGTAGAGGTATATCCTAACATTCACAAGGCCCTGGGTCAAACCCCAAGAACCCCAACAAAAAAAAAAAAAAAAAGTCTGTTCTCTATATGTGGTTCAGAGGGAGCCCTTAATGATGCCATTCTACCTTACAGGGCCCTGCAAGCTTCCCAGTGGCTCCCAAGATCTGTTGGACAAGGTGTAATAGCAT